TTAGTGTTGCGCTGCATTCTGTACAACAGGTGTCTGTGAACCCGAAGAAGGAAAAACAGTCCACACTTCATTCCTTCTTTTAAAAACAACTAACTCCACATCCCTTCTCCCACTGAAGCCATGAATGGAGCTATGGGGATAGTCACTATGTTTCTTTGATTTCTCAGTTTTTAATTTTAGTAATGTACAGTATAAAATACTGTATAATACTATTTTCAAATAAATTGTCTTTGTTTACAATATGAATGGTAAGTTAAGTGTTTATAGTATGATAAGGTAAGTTACGAAGGCTGGTAATGTATCCTTATAGTAATAATGTTATAAGTTATTCAATATACCAAGTTTTAATATATATAAACAAAGCGCCAGGAATGCATCTACTTCATATAACGAGGTATTACTGTACTTATGTACTGCTGTTCAGCATACTTCGATGTTGCAAGTCAACCAACCATAAACACCTAGGTGTCACATATTGATAATAATTAACATAACACTAGGTCAGAAGTCAGAAAAAAGTTATTGTAATTTTACACAAGACTTTGGTGAGGTATTATGTATTATAACTGTATTATGTGCAGTTTTGAGCATTTTACTACAAGGATATGTTTGTTATTAAGCACAAAGCTACACAATGGGCTATCTGAGTGGTGACCATCACATAGGTACTGAAACCAGATTTTTAGCATTATAAGCCTTCACATATCATTGAAACACTGGAAAACTAGACACATATTAGAAAGTATGAAGAAACAAACTAACAATGATTCTTCGGTTATTTACATTAGAAAGAAAGATTTAAATATTACTTTTTCTTTCCTTACAACATTGAAAGAAACTTGATTCAAGTGTTCCTACAGGTGTTCTATTTGACTTGTGTAATAAGAAAGTTGAAACACACGTTAGCATTTTTCTACACTGAAAATGCATTTCTGATAGATACTTACCTCTTTCCACAAAATAGCTTTTCTCAATTTGTAATGCCCTCTATTGGCACAAATTTTCAATACTTGCCACTAGCCTTCTACCTCCCAATTTTGCATATCCATATGCAAAAAATCATTACCAGTGCCCTCTTCACATTTCCACTTGTTAATCACTTTGAGTCGGTCTGAATACCCACACATCTATCACCAGAAACGGAATGGCTAGGTGGAAAATGTGAGAGGAGGTAAGTATCTATTGGAAGTACATTTTCAATGTAGGAAAATGCTTCTTTCCCATATGTTCCCACACTGAACTGGTGGTGGGCCAGTGAAAAAAATAATCCCCCTTTATGAAGCACCCAAAGAGAGACTCAGCAGGAGACATGTCTAATCCAGGTATACTCTTCACTCTTCCATGACTGTGTCATGAACATAAAAGGCAGAAAAACATAAAGGAATCTCAGAATATGTATGGCTGATTAATGGGACCCCTGGGTTTCAAGTGACTAGGGCAGACAGACTCCAGTAGTAGTTCGACCTCACTCAACACCAAGTGGCATCTGGAATGGTACATTAGATTTGTGGTAGGTAGAGGATCACATACCTCTTCACCTCAAAATGGGAAATGGTAGGGAAGATGAGCTTCTGTATCAAAATCCATCTCTACTTGCGTGCATTTCAAACACATTTCTGGTCCAAAACCTAGGGGATATGAGTTTGGTACTTCCAGAGAAGGATACCTGGCCATGCACAAGCAGGAAAATGCGTTGCGTCCTGCTACGTCCAACACCAGATCCACCGGGAACCAACATCCAGCAGACAGTAGGAACCGCAAACCTGGAGTGCATCTCCAGTCCAAAACCTGGCAGTGGTGTGCATTTGTCATCCAGTCTCCAATGGGAGGAGGAATACAGGCCAACACACATGTGAGGACTAACTTAGCCGGACCATCTCCGGCCAATACCAGACCCACAGAGGATGTACATCCAGACGATGGTAGGAAGGAGGAATGCCATGGTAGGAAAAAGCAATCGGTCAGATACATAGACTGCATATTGCTATAACCAAAACCTGGTGGTATCTGGAATTGTACATCAGGTTCACGGTAGGAAGTGCTATCTACCACTGTCCTACTTTCAACTGAGTAGTATGATTCATCACTCGGGAGGTCAAGTCTCCATGGTCCACCACCCCAGTGGTTAGGAACTGGTAAGGACTCCACTAGAAGAGAGGAGGGAAAAACATGTTTGAGAGTCCACAGGACCACATCACAGGAGACAGTGCAACAGGTGACCACAATACAATGGTGGAGAGCTACTACATTATCATTTGCATGTGGATATTCAGAAGCAGAAGGCCAGTGGCAGGAGTTAAAAATTTGTGTCAACAGAGGGCAGTACTAATTGAGGAAAGAGGTTGGAATGAAGAGTTTTACCTTTGTGCAAACCTCGTGGTAGAGACTATTCATTTGGCACCACTTAGAAGTTTGTGAATTCAGCAGTTTAGGCAAAGTAGTTTTCAAGAAATCCCCGAGATCTTCAAGGTGTAGGTGAAAAATTTTATTTTTGTGCAAATCTTGGGACCAAGATGGTTCGTTTTGTACCACTAAGAAGTCAATGCAACCAGCAGTTTAGGAGGAATTAAGTCACACATACAGACACTGAATTTTATTATATTAATATATGTGCTGCTAATTTTTGAAAGTTTTTAAAATTTAGTCAGCTAGGCAAGTGTATGTAAACATTAGGGGAAATGCAACTGAATAAGAATATCAACTAATTGTTGTATTTATTTTAAGTAGGAGAGAAAATTATTTAGATGGGCCACAAACATGTGGCCTTTTAACATTTTTTTCTTAGATTTTCCTGATTAATTCACACCAATATGTGTTGGAAAAAAAAAACCCTTATGAAAAGATTATATCTAGATAAGCAACTGCTACATTTACATTTACGTCATCTTCCAATGATGGTCTGCAGTAATTTATGCATGAATGCAAGTTACTTTTCCTATCTTTCTACAATATCGTGTCTCATTGAAACATCATCATTTTTGTTTCTGTTACTAAGCAACAACTCTGTTTTCCATATTACACTTGACATAGCTTCTTCTGGAATTTTCAGTTCCCTGGAATATTTTTACTTGTTCTCATATTAATGGTTCTTTTATATTTACAAACACATATCTTTAGTTCATCAGCTACTGAGTGTAAGTGTTATTTTTTCCTACTTCATGTGTGTTTGAAAACAACACCTTTTTTTTACTTTCTGACATCATAATGACTTCTTTATTACACCATTCTCTTTACTTCTACTTTGTGTTTCCTTTCTAATATTTGACTTGTTTCCCTCAATTTCGAGCTATTTTTAATTATTGATTATTTTCATTTATTTGTTTTAATCAATATTACTGTTTAATTTTATATGTCACTCACATTTCTAGATGATATTTATCTATTTGTCATTTTCTCAGTTTTTAAGTTATATTTATGACGTTCCTCATTGTACGTTTTCTAACATTTTTATTTTTGATGGATATATTTTGGGATCATTCTTAATTTTGTTCCCCTGATTGATTATACTTCCTCTCTTTTAATCAACCCAGATCTTGTTATAATTCCAAAAAATTATTTCTTATCATGTATTCTCAAGTATTTTTTCTCCTCTATAATTGTAGTTAAACTTATGCATTTTTCATATCTTAAGTACTAGCTTATATATATAGTCTTTTCTATTTTATCTTTACATTTATTATATATGTAATGCTTGGAACTTGTAATAATTAAAACAGAAAAAGAAACAACAGATAAATGTAACTTATAAGATGGAAAGTACTAGTATGATAAACATTTTTTAATTAAAAGTTTAAATACTTAATATTATTATTATACATATATTTTAAGGTGAGAGGTATGCTACAGATACTTTATAATTCACAAAATTTTCAATTATTAAATTTCAATTTTTTTGTAAAATACTTAATATCCAAACCTTTTATTTAAGATGCAATATACAGTAAGTTACTTTTGTCCATCTGTCACTCATCAACTTCACTACTGAGTTAACATTTAGAAATTCGATCTATTTCAAAAGATTTACATTAGTTTTACCTAATTCTATTTCACTTTAAAAATTCTCAGTTTTGATAGTAAACAAAGATGTCAGAAAAGATGCATAATTCATCAAGTAAATCCAATGAAATTGAAAACAAACTTCGGTACTTAATAAAAACTTGTATTTTAAGTTTTCATGCAAACACAAATCAAAGATACCAGTCTTGAATATATTTCTATACAAGTTATAAATGTTTTCAAGTCTACGAAAGATCTAAAAAGTAAAACAGTTTTAACTTATATAGATTATCATTATCACGATTATACATCTTTCAAACTCAAAGTTTCAGTTTGTTTCACTCTTCTTACTGAAACCTGAATAAACAATCTATCTACTACTACTAGTTCAACGTTATGTTGACTTACGTTATACTTATAGTTTTATACTAGGTCCTACAGTTAGTTTTAAACGCCAAATTCCTCTATACAGATCATAATATTATGTTTCAAACGAACTTATCAAAATCTCATCCCCGCATAACACCAGCCACTGACTGGTAAGCCGAGGTACACGCCCTTGGCCCGATGCAAGAAACGGCCATCTTGTTAAAACACTTGTTCTAGTTGACGTTATCAATCACATTGAGCTTCCTAGACTTCCATTGCGACTTGGCCTGACCAGGTGTTTGAAGACTAATTATCATAATCAATCATATATACATAAACAAAGTATATAATAAAATGCGAGTTATTACATAAAGATTCCGATAAAATAAGTTTTCTTTTACACATCCAAGGTCAAACACTTAAAACAACGGCCTTCCCGCTTACCAGTTATGTCAGAGGGTGAAGTTAACAAGATGGTGGCTTGGTCCACAGTATTAATAATACAAAGTCTAGACCCCTGCGACTTGCATTTATAAGCCTGCTTCACAGGGGCAATTTTTTTTATCGTAAACTGAAGATTATGATACAAGAAACAAAATAAGAATAACTTAAAATATAAATAAATATAATCTTACCTAAAAAACCCTCGCTCAATTATGTACGTTTTCAGACCAAACCCGCCGTCTACCCAATTTTCACTTCTCCAGTCAATATTCTAACTAGTGAAAGAAAGTTTATTTAACAAGCGCCCTCTATTATTTGAAACTGTCATTTGTACTGCTGTTTACGAAAATAGCGTACAGTCATCTGGCGGGCTATTTGAAATTTATTTGTCTTGAGGAAAATGTTGACAACCCTCCAAGACACACAAGCTGTCAACACAATAGTAGTGATATATTGGTTCTGTGTATAAGCTCATGAAATATTAGTAATATATGTTTCAATTTTAACGTTGGATTTGATGTTGATAGCGATCACTTACCAATAACATGTGTCTTTAATGTCGTAATACATAATAATAAGCCCATAAGAAAACCTAAATTTAACTATAAAGAAAATAAACTGCGAAAATATGCAAACTTCCTTGACCAATTATTACCAGAAACAACGATAAATCTAGCAGAGAAACCATCTGATATTGATTATTATTGTCAAACAATTACTATGTACGTTACGAAAGCTGCAGAACATACAATACCTAAACAAAACCAATATACTACTCAAAATAAATGGAAACCTCACTCCCAAATTATAAACATGATAAAAAAAAACGCCGTCAACTGAGAAGACAGTACATCAATACGAGAAATACATACACCAAAACTCAAAAAAACACTCAAAAAAAATAAATAAGAAATGAAATGAAACAATCAAAACCAAATAACTGGGACATTTTTTGTTCAAAGCTGAATGAACACACAACCCCTAAAAACTTTTGGTCACATCTGTAATGATTTACATATAACCAAAATAGGTATGAAATATATCCAACCTTACATCATGAAAACAAAACAGCATATACAAATGAACAGAAAGCTGAAGTCTATAAAGAACAATTGAGGAAAACCTTTAAAATACACAATAAACTAGACATGAACACACACACCATTTTAACACAGCAAACGAGTATGTGTAGAACCAAATAAACAAATATGCACACCATATTTCCTAGTAACTACAATAAATCCATGCAATTTAAACAATAATAATCATGCAAGTAAAATAACACAAACAGAAGTAATTATATCTGTAAATCTAACCAAAAATAAAGCTCCCGGTTAAGATGGAATACAAGCCATTCTCGTAAAAAAGGTTCTCAGAAACTGTTTGATCATTTAAACAGCGTTATATAACTTATCCCTCAATTCTGGCTACATCCCAACCTCTTGGAAGCAGGCAAACCAGCAAATAAACCAGGAAGCTACTGACTAATCAGTCTGACTAATTGTATAGGAAAAAATTTAGAAAGAGTAATTAATAATCGGATCTTCACTTTCTTATAGATCACGTCAAAATTACCCGAAGTTCAAAATGGTTTCCGAAAATTTCGGCAAGGAACAGATCATTTGGTTAGGTTAACTGAAACCATAATAGATAGTTTTAATTACAAAAAATGCATTGCCACCTGCTTTCTTGATATAGGGAAGGCATTCGACACTGTATGGCATAGCGGTTTAAGATATAAATTAAAACAATTAGAATTATCAACAGGCATTATTCACTAGTTGTTTAACTTTTTCAGAAAATAGAAAATGCAGAGTAAACGTAGAGAGTACCTACTCGTAGTATTTTACTCCCGAAGCAGGTGTTTCACATTGAGGAGTAGTTAGTCTTATCCTCCTCATCATGTTTGTAAGCGAAATGCCATTAAATGACCCAACTTTTAGCTTAACATCACAACTTGCAGACAATGTAGCAAATTGGAAGAGGTCTTCTACTCCTTCGGTAGCAGATAAAAATTTACAGGCCGTTCTGAATCAAATTGTTAAATACTGCTAAAATACAGGATACAAACAAACGTTCCTAAAACAAACCTTGTTCTTTTTTTCAAATCGATTAAAACATTAATAAATCCTCCTGAAACATACTTATATGGAGCTCTTCTAAATGTTGTGCCATCGACAAAACGTTTTCAGTATAATTTATGATTCAACATTAACTTGGGATAAAAATATTACCCAAATTAGGAATAAAGTATGACAACGAGCAAACTACATTAACAGATTAACAGGTGAAAACACAGGAGCCACACCAGAAAACATAATCAAAATCTACGAACAATACTGTTGCGTCAGCAAGGTCACGTGACTAGTGTCACGCCACGTTTTCTAGAAATATCCTGTTCCCTCGTGAATGCCCTAGCATTTACTAGATTGGTGGTAGTCTGGTATATATAAGATGATCACAACGTGACGGGACAACATTGTAATGAGTAATTGAATGTATGCGGACAAAATATTGTTGGCCACGTGAGATATAGCGTTTGTTATAGCGCGATTGTTGAAATTAAGTGTATCGTAAAGTTGTATTCGGAAAGAATAAACCAGTTTTATTAAGAAAGGACTTGAGTCGCTAAAGTTTCGTCGGAACGAAGTTACGGAAAATCAACTAACGACTGGAGACGTAACAATACATTAGACCAGTTATGTCTGAACTAATGCAGCACCTACACGCATTAAGAAACTAACCACCACAGCCTTTAGAGAACCAAGAACAACAAATACCAATTTTATGCATAATTAGGCAAACATTAAATTAATTAAAGACAGACTCGTAGATTGCTCGCTCCATTACTTTGATAAAAACGATTTATTACCAGAAATATATCGCTATATCACACATGATGATAATAGCCCTAGATACGTCACCCAACACTAGGCGTGGCATAGCCAGGTGGTTAGAGCGCTTAACTCCCATTATGAAGGGCGCGGGTTCGGTTCCCTATCCCACCAAACAGGCGAGGGTGCTATAATGTGACGGTCATTTCCACTATTCATTGGTGGTGGGTGGTGATGACTAGCTTCTAAATTAGGGACGGATAACGCAGATAGCCCACGTGTAACTTTGCGCGAAATTCAAACAAACTTTCCCCACTAAACTTTTACTATAAGAATAGAGACCATCTACGCTAGACATAAACATGTCGCTTAGATTTAAGTATTATTTGTGTATTTAAAAGAGTTTATATATGTGAAATACATGAATTGATAATTGTTTCAAGTGAAAAAATGACGTTTTGCTATGAAACTGTTTGTGAGCGCATACGACCAAATGAAGAGAAATAATCATATGGATCTGTTTGTGAGCGTATACGACGAAATGAAGAGAAATAATCATATGGAACTGTTTGTGAGCGTATACGACGAAATGAACAAAAATGGTAAAATAGCATTAAATGCTATAGATAGTCTATTCCTGGACATGGCCCTGAAGAGGAAAGAAATCTCAATGTTCCAACGCAGTGTTTTACATTAGTGTTAATCGATTTCTTGAATAACCATATTGCATTTTGAAGTTCATAAACAACAGTAAAGGAAGAGGTCCGAGTGAACCTGACCCTCCCAGGTCGCACACAACAACTAAACGCCGATAAAGCGAGTGTGCTCTAAATATTTGTATATATGTATAATACATATATTTCTGATCATTGTTTTAAGGATATGTCATCATTACCATACTGAGCTAAAAAAGGAGAAAAAAGTTGTCAAAAAGATATTTAAAAAATACTAACAAATGTTTATATTTTGTATTTATGATATATTTCATAACTATTTCGTTTTTTGTTGTTGTTTTTTGCAATGAGCAATTTGTTCTTCTACAGAAAACCATTATCAATTAAGTCTGAATAACAAGCATTGTATATTTAAGCTTACTTTATTCATCTACAAAAAATGTTTTGTTTATTTGTAACATAACATTAAACTATTTATTTGCATGTTTTTAAAATATATGATTTCTCGCTTACTCAAGTTTTTCACGAAATTATCCATCGAGGATTATGAAACCCTTCATGGTTCCTCAAACTTTCTAGACTCATGTTCTACCTTAGTTTATACAAATGTAAAACTTTCCAGGCCCTTGTTCTACCTTTTCTTCATACAAATGTCAAACTTTCCAGACTCGTGTTCCATTTTTTGTTTATACAAATGTAATTAAAAAAAACCTTAGTAACAAAAATTAACATTTTAACACTTATCCAGTAATGGGAAGTTTATTTGTTTTTAATTATGCACAAAGCTACACAAGGGCTATCTGGGATCTGCCCACCACGGGTATCGAAACCCGGTTTCTAGCGTTGTAAGTCCGCAGACATACCGCTGTGCCACAGTAATGGGAAGGACGTGATTGTGTTTCTGTACAACTGAAGAGTATGTGGCCGAGTTTTTGTAGATGTACTGTTTTAAAGTATGCTATTTTATTGTTTGGTATGGCTCTACCTTATGACAATAACATGACACTGTTACGTCTCCGTTTGTTACTTGATTTTCCGTAAATTTGTTTCCGACGAAACTTTAGCGACACAAGTCCTTACTTAATAAAACTGGTTTATTCTTTCCGAATATAACTTTACCGATACACTCAACTTCAACAATCGCGCTAAAACAAACGCTATAATAACGAACGTGCTCAATAAATACTCTCTGACTGCAGATCAATTACTCACTGTCTATACACACATTATTATTACGTCACGTTGTCACCCTC